TTTTCATTTTTTACTGGTAGCTGGTATAAGACCGAGACTATGATCAATTAAATTTAATATTTAAATGACTCATGTTGAATGCTGCCGGTGTGGGATATAGTAGTAACCTGAAATTGACAGCTCTAAGAATTATTTGTATAATTATAAAAATTGAAATGTGTTACTCTCCAAATGTTCAAAGGGTGGTTTATATGATTTTAAAATTTCATCTCCGCCTGATAAAAGAGAATTACAGAATTACATGGTGGCATTATTTTATGCTCATTAGGTGTTCGTTACAAAGGATATTGTTATTTGATCCCGTAAAGGTTAATATAATTTTGTAAATAAGATGCTAACTCATGTATATTTAATTTGATTGTTTTTACATTCAAATGTATATGTTCGTTCGGAGCATCAACATTAGCCAGTAATATTATCAATATTTTTATTTTAATCGTTAAAAAATTTGTTTGTTTGTTTGTTTTTTATTTATTTATATACAAAAGGAGTTGTTCAAGATTCTTTTCAAAGAAGTACTCTCATGTGAATCAAAGACGTTTAAAAAATCAACTATGCTGTTTTTTCTTAATTAAAAAAAAAGATCTTTTGTCCAGATTAAAGGTCAATGTGTCACTTGGAATTTTTTTTTATTCCAAGTTTATTGCTATTTACAAATTTCGTTTGTAAAAAAATCAACCAAATTTTTAATTAAAAAAAAAAAATCCCTTGCAAAGATTCATCAATGGATTTCATTTGTTTTCTCTGAAATACTTTTCCTATCTAAACCATCCACTATCTCTCTCAAATGGTTAAAAATCAAAAAAATGTTTATCATCGATCATTGAATTTAAATTGGCCGATAATAATGGTGTAATTAAATCCCAGACTCGAAAATACACTAACACGTTGGTGACAAGTCTTTGACGATATGAAATCTGGGATAAAGGCTCCAAGACAAGGCAATATCCGAAACGTCAGGACAAGATGAAAACCTAACGGTAGACAGCGATAGACAGCGCAAAAAAAAAAAAAATAAAAATAAAGAGAGACACAATTTCTTTTTAGTCAAGTATCTGCTTCGCTCAACCCTGACGTTTTGAGCAAAAATAAATAAATTTTTCGGTTACTAAATAGATAGCATGATACGTCGATGTAAAATAACCACAACCATTCATCATTTTTGGAAAACGAAAATATTTTCAATTTAACAAATTAATTTCAAGCCAACGTAGCAAAAAAAGAAAAAAAAACGACTAATTACAAAGTTTTACCCTTTGATTTTGATCTCATCTTTCCCCAACAATTCAGTTTACTAAAGTTGAGCAACAAAGTGTTTAAAGATTCGTGATTCATTACCGTAACTGCACTGAATTTACCGTTTCAAGTCTTAATATTAACAAGGCAACAGAATATTTCCTGTGCATTCAAATTTGGTAAAAAAAAAGAAAAAGGGAAAAGTATTACACAAAATATAAAAATCTACATTTAGAAAGGGAACCGGTAACACGGCATTATTCTCAAAGAAAAAAAAAATCTCCAAGTCAAATTTATATATATAATGTCATACGTTAAACTATTATCATCATTATCATCAGAAAGAAAGGACTTTGTACGTAAAATTTGTGGTGAAATGTATAGCAATACAGCAGTTAATTCTGATAGAGAAAGTAGAAAAGATTATTTTTTTTCATTGGCCGAAAAAAACAAGGAGCTTTCTGAAAATGAAAAAGAATATTGTAAGGAAAGGTTTATTTATGAGTTTGAATTAGATAATGCAACATATAAATTGGGTAAACCAAAAGAATGTAACAAGTGTAAATTGATAAGATACTCTGATAGATACTGTGAAGGTTGTATTAGTTTACAACTGCAGAGCCTTTTCACCACTTGGACATCTGGAAATAACATAATTGATGATTTTATTCAACAATGTCAAATAAAATCATCTCTACCAACTTTTATTTTAGAATGGATACCTTTTGAGCAATTTAAAAAAGTGACAAAGTTGACTGAAGGTGGATTTAGTTCGATTTTTACTGCCACATGGACAAGAGGAGGTATTAATGATTACGACGAAAATGAAAAGGAATTTAGTTATTTAGGAAGGGAAAACGTAGTATTAAAAAGTTTAAATGATTCAAGTAATCCAGGAAAAGCCTTTTTTGATGAGGTTAGTAGTTGTTGTTTAAAACAATACATTATTATATAATACTGTTGTGCATGAAAATGAAATCTATGTGAATTTGCAATTCACATATGTGAAATTCAAATTAGCAATCAGAATTTCATATCCAAACGCCCACCTCAAAATTTTAATTATAAAATTTCAATTTCACATAGTTTCAATTTCACATACAACAATACTAATTGGTTTTATATTTTATTTACAGGCAATGAATTATTGTAAAATTAAATCAGGGTTGATTGTTTCTTGCTTTGGTATAACTAAATTCCCAGATAATGGAAACTATGCAATTGTTTTAAATTATTTACCAGAAGGAGATTTAAGAAGTTATTTACAAAAAAATCATTTAAATTTAACATTAAAAGACAGAATTACAATTTTTGATTATTTGTGTGATGCATTATATCGTATACATGAAAAAGATTTAATCCATTGTGATTTACATGGTGGTAATATACTTGTGCATGGAAGTGGTTATTATATTACAGATTTAGGATTATGTGGACCTGTTGATGAAAAGTCATCAAATAAAGTTTATGGAATTATATCATATATTGCACCTGAGTTATTTAATGGTGAAAAGAACACAAAAGAAACAGATATCTATAGTGTTGGGATGTTAATGTGGGAAATATTTGCAGGTCACCCACCATTTGATGATAGAGCTCACAATCATCACTTAATGGTTGATATATGTGCAGGTTTACGACCACCAATATTATCAGGAATTCCTGACAACTATGTGCAAATGATGCAGAGGTGTTGGGATGCAGATCCATCAAAAAGACCAACTATTGGAGAGCTTTTTGACTTTGCTCGTAATAAATCAAAAGAAATTCATAATAATAGTAATATCAGTAGTGGTGGTAATAATAGTGATAATAGTAATAATATTATTACTAGTAGTGATAATGATTCACAACAAGTACACAAATCACATCCAGGCGTATACCATACAAGTAGGATCTTAGATGAAGAGATTGCTAAATATAAAATCTTAAAACGTTATACAAGTAATGAAAATAATCTTGATTTTAACAAAGGTGAATAAAAATTAATTTCATCATTAATTAATATCAATTACTAATAATCTTTTTTAACATTAGATTCTAGTAATAATAGCAAAAGAAGAAAGATTGATGACTAATTTAATCTCTGCTATAAATTTATTTGTTGTAATTATTTATCTTTTTATTTTATCCTTATTTGTTTCTTAAAGCTAAATTATAATGAAATAAAGTTTTCTGATTTTGTTAAATGGTGATATTGCTGACTGTAGCTTAACTTTTGGGCTTACCCTTGTCAGTTAATTGCAAGAAACCCATAATGATTTGGTGCTTATCAATTAATTAGTTTACAATTTATCTCACTCACTACCTTTTTCTTATGCCTAGAAAGCTTCAATGAATCTGTAAGCATACTTAATGGTACCAGACAAATAAAATGGCTATTTATAAAACTCAAAGGCTTTTATAAAATTTCTTTTATTCACTTGTGATTGATTTACATCAGTACCTTGTTTATATTTATTTGGCAATTGCAAAACAACTTAAACGTTTACAATTACAATAACATTACCATATTTCCAATTAATCTTTGGAAAAAAGCTTAACAATAATCGCAAAGCAATTATAATAGACAGTGATATACATTTTATGATATTATTTTATTAATTTTATGATTTTAAAAAGAATCCAATCATCGAAACCAATAAATCATTAATCGATAATTGAATACTTTCTTTGGTGATGATGGAAGTTGTGGTGGAGGAGAAGGCTCAAACAAAAACCAAATGAAAATTGATAATGGAATTCATTGTTGAGTTTTTAAAAGCAATGATTATAATTGTTGATTTTATTTAAAGAAGAAATTTTAATAGCGAAATTTCATTTTTTTAATGAAAATTTATATAGGTGGCTCGGTCTAAAGACTTCCTAAATTTTGCAAAGATTTTAAAAGTATAGAAGTCACTTTCTTTCCTACCTTTTAAAAAAATAGCGTTATTAGTTGATAGAATAGGGCTTTAGTTTTAATGTAATAATGAGATTTTCTCAAAAAAATTATTTGTTGTAGAGTCCTATTCTTTTTAAAACTAAAACCACGTGAAGTCCTATTTTTTATTTGAAAATTAGACCGTGTGGTGCTGCAATAGGAGATCTTTAGACCGAGCCAACCATATTTGTTTTTATAATTTCAAAAAAAAAAAGAATTGGCAGAAACTCTCGATATTTTTATATTCGAACATTTCTAACAATAATAAGTTGTTAAATTAATGAATTTTATCAAAGAAAAATTTACTAATACTGTAATAAGCAAACAAAATCAGTAATTAATTTTTTTAAAATTTATTAGGCATTTTATAGTATTAAGCCGCATAAATCTAATTTTTCGGTTAACGTTATATCTCCCTTGGGTTTTAAAAAAAGTTTGTATTCAATTCGCGTAAATAAATGTATATGATCACGTAAATGCACATAGACTTTTTTTTACGTGTCTCAAAATTAATTTTTAAATGTCAAATAGTCACAATTTACAAAGAAGTGGAAGTATCTTGGCGACATTATTTATTCACTTGGTGATTAGCAAAGTAACAATGAACTTTTCGAAAAAGAAAGTGGGAAAGCACGAGTCTTGATTTAAGAACAAGTTTTTTAAGTCAATTAAAACTAGTCGAAAACTAAAGAGCTATTCTGAAGCAACGGAAGTAGAAAACTTTATAAATTACACAATAATTAATTAAAACTTTTTTCACCAATATTATATTTATTATATTATTTGTTATGTACACATTAAATCTAAATACTTAATAATATAAATCTATGTATATATGGAATTAATACATCATAGCAGTTATTGCAGAACCGATGAATCCACCATTTTTAATTTCACTTAATTTGGTTCTTTTATCTACGTGGATTCCTTGAAGATCTCTTAAATATTTGCTCATTTGATTAGAATATTTATAGTATTTATGATACAATGATCCATCAATTGCTACTCTGATATCTCGTTCAACTGAAGGAAAATCTGGACATTGCAGTTTAATCAATGAAGCAACAGCTATAGCTGATAGTTGAGCCGAACGTCTAGAATACGCTTTTACAATTTCAGTCACTATTTTCATATCTCCTTTATTTGGCCTTTTACCATCAGGAAATCTAAATCCTTTTAATAAAACTTTTAATATTCCTGAACAATCAGCTGTTTTGTCACTAAATTTAATAATTAAAATTTAATTATTAAAAGCTCCAATTAAATAAATAATCATAATCAATGCTATGACCCCGAAACCACCGAAACTGATTTAGGGTGGTTTAGGTTTAGGTCTAGCGTGGATTCTCTCCCGAAATTGTTTTGGGGAATTCAAGATTTATGGTCACAGAATTGATCATAATCATACCTTTCAATATCAGACATTTGCGTAATTGAAAAATTATATGGTATTTCCATCCCTCCTGGTAAGAACCCACCAAACAAATTAAAAGTTTTCACATAATCAACAATTGTTAGTCTCGCCAATTCACCTAAATACATTCCACTGACCATTTTTTCAAAAGGTCGAAATCCTGGGATTTTACTTTGCAGATCAAGGATCCTGTCATACTTTATAAAAGGTAAGAAATCAGCACCCATTATACTCCATTCAGTACTGACGATCATATATTCTGGTGTTCTTGGTGGAAATTTGATTTTTGAAATTGATGAAGTTTCAGAAATACATGCAGCATTAGTTCCTGCATCTAAAATCACTGAAACAATGGTATTTTGATCTTTGTAAGCACTTGCCACAAGCGTGCCAACCGCATCATTGACTATGGCTGAAATGCGAACTCTGAAATTCTAAAATAAAAAAAAAAGTTTATTAATAAATATCTAATTATAATAATAATAATAATAATAACAATAACAATAAATAACCTTTCTAAAAAATGCAGCTTGTAATAATTCGACTAAATCATGAGTTTCTAACCCTTTGAATCTTTCTCCCATTTGCATAGCAAAACCCCGGTTAATTGCGGTTTGTCTAATTATCAATTATTTTAATTAAATCTTTTTTTATATTAATTAAAATATGACAGTGTTTTAATTAATATATATATATATATGAAATTCTTACTTTATTGGAAAACCAAAAGTAACGCCTGTGTATAATACTTTAGAGTTATAATCCTCCTCCGCCAGATCATCGATATCCAAATCATCATAACCCAAATCATCCAATAACTCTTTAACAGATAATGCCACCCAATCGAATAATTGCTCGGCTGTTCCTGTTTTTAATTCGTCAGGAACTTTATATTGTTTATGCACCAACTCAGTTTTACCAGGACCTACCAATATTACCATTGCCACTCTTAGATTCGTGCCACCCAAATGCAAGGCAAGACAGCTGCCAGTCTCTATGCCTATCGGGAGACGAGTAACGTACGATGGTATCATTGTAGAATGGTCTTTTGTTAAACCATTATGATATGAAGAAAGAAATCCTTCTATGACCTTTTCAATCGTTGATCGTCCCAGTGCAGTTTGTTTCTTTAACTCTGATAAAGTTGGTGTTGGATAGTCCATTGTTTATTTACACGGACTTTTTATAATTAACGGATAAATGGTGGATTTATATATTAATATTTTCATACTACGGAAACACACGGGCATGAGGTTAACCCTGTTATGGTTAGGCGATGGCGATGACATCATCCGACATATGCATACATTGTGAGTGATACAGATCATATTGATGACGAATTAAACCTAAAACTAATTGGCTATTGAACATGCGAATTATTTATTATTATTTTGGCAGTTTATTCCTTCTATGCATCTTATGACCTAGTTATTTTTATTATTAGTTTCCCTTTAATCTATTTTTTGCCAATCCTTGGAGTGCATTCTAGTTTCAATTATTTATTATTGTTAAAAAATGGTAATGACCCGGTTTTTCTGATGATTGATTAGAGATTTAACAGATTTAGATTTGTACACCAGTTTTAATTTCCAGTGTTGGTAATTCATCATCTAAAAGTTGTTCTTCATAGTGAACCTTTGTAATGTGATTTGCCCTTCAAAATATTATGCCATGTATTCTATTAATTCTTCAACCAATCCAGAAAAACTAATTTCTGTCCATAGATAGACTCAGGTTCCTATTCATCCTTTTAGAGGCCTTTTTTTGTATTTGTTTTCCAAAATTCATTCATTATATGTCCTTCATACACGATCTGGTCCATCATTTTGAAATAATGTATTGTCCGATGTCCAATAGTGTAAGTTGGACACAGACATTAAACGTGTATTGGACATGTCCAGGATGTTCACGAGGCACATTGGAGAATGTCCAACACCAACCCTGCTCCAAATGATGGTTTTCTATTCCTGAGTACTCCAACCCTTTTTATCTAAGCACCAATTTAAAGCAGGTTTTGTCTCTAGTTTCGCCAATGGGCAGGTTTGCTTCTTCTCTAAAAAAAAGAAACACTAAATTCATTGAAAGCTTCTAGACTTTGTGCAAACCTGTAACTAGTTATAACTATACTTGTCGCCCAAACTCGGAATGCCAAGTCCCAAAACCCTTGAATTTCATGAATTGGATGACACATATAGGTACAGATTTGTAAAAATTACTAAATTTGTGCTGGTCCACAGTATTTCAGGGGTTTGCAAGCTTTTACACCCAAATAGTATTGAACTATAGTTTGGGCAGCAAGTATTAATTAAACTGGACTTTTATGGCCTTCCAGCTTTTGAATAATTTAACACAGCCTCCCTTTTGAAAAATTCGTACTGTTCAAATAACTGTAGTTTTTGGAAGGTCAAGTGTCTTACGTATTCAACTCCATATTAATATTTATAAAGACAAATTATCTCAACCTCAGTTTGATACAACCTAAAAATTAATAAAACCGGCATTTCCAAATGAAGCTGATTTATTCTTCAATCAAAAAATTTTAATTGTTAAAAAAAATTTAAAAGATGTTTAAAAAATAATCAAAATCTGATTATACATATAACTATTGTTATTACTATAGTTTTAATAAAAGAATAATTATTTTCGAGTTTCGCATGCCACATAACTGTTTTAATTATCAAGGGTAGCCAACCAAATAATATGTGAAACAATTACTTTGTCATTAACCAATTTTTGTTTGGCCCCCATAAATCACCAATAAATACTGATTTTTAGCATATTCGATATCAGTGGTGAATATTACTTTAACTCTGCCGTCGGGAAAATCATATAACTCAATACGATCATCATCATATTAAAGTGCGCTGACGACACATTATTTGTAAACTAATATGCAATCAGTAATTTTACATAATAATAAAATAACAAATTAGGAAACCATTGATAAATATTTATTTATTTATTTATACACCTGTTTGCTTTCGGTAAAATATTTTTCTTTTTTGCATTTTCACAAAAAATTGTCACCTTTCCATTACTATCTTCACTTTATTTAAGCCAATGATAAAATTCGTAACCAATTTGGGTCAAAATCTTTTTTATTTAATTCCTATCTCATTTTTTCCTTATTTTTCCGCTTTTTGTGTGTTACCTGTTTGGATCCTTCATTACTTTTTTCTTATTTTCGGAGTTTACTTTGCAAATAACAAATTTATCCATTATTGAATACATTTTCAAAAGCTTAAATACAGTATTAATGCGAATGGCGTATATAAAAAGTGGAAAAATTTGATTTATATATTATAAACTGAATTCACACACTGAGCCTACAAAATTTGATTTCGTGCACAAATAAATCATTACGCTCAGAGCACATCAATTTTAACTCTACCGTCGGGAAAATCATACAGTTCAATATGATCACCTTGAACTTTCCGTTTCATTTGTGTGCAGTAATCCATCCTGATACACATCTATAATCATTAGAATTTGTATCACACTATCATATTCCGGTCCATATATGCTATAGTATTTATAGGTAGTTGATGATTCCAGAATCTTTCATAAACATTATCTTTATAAGTGTCAACTAATTTCGAAATAACCCTAACCAAAAATTTAATTTTCTTATTTCTTGCGATTTCAACCAATCGTACACCCACATCTCGGATCATACCAGAAAAACAATTTAAAAGCGTCCAACAATACAATTCTATCGAGTATAATAGAACTTTATGTACGTACTAGTAGAAAAATTACATTCCAACAAAATTTTTAATTTCTTTTTCTTTCAAATTTCGACTAACCACTTCATCTCACTCTCCTCCTAATATACCAGCTTGCTGTTTAAAATTCAAAATATCCCTCGCTTCAAGCTCCAAATATTCTTGACCTTTATTCTTGACAAATTTATGTCTTAATTTTTCCGCGTTATGTTAATATAATCAATCAGATACTCCTTGAGCAATAGTTAACCAAATATCATTAAAGTTAAGATACATGTTGATGATTATTAAAAGCATGTATAGTAAAATTGCTGCTACTAATCAATCCATGCCTTACAGTAGTTTTTCTAAAACCAAAGAATTATTATCATCATCATCAATATATCTTACATGTATTAATGAATTCTGTCAACGGTTTTAATGTGTAGTGAAATTATATTTTTAGGTTTAATATGTTTATTAATTACGAAAGTTTTACGGTTACTTGTAGAATTCAACTTTTTTTTGAATATTTAGACTAAGTTATTTTAGTAAATGGTTGATTTCTTAACGCATTATAAGACCGCGGACAATTATAATTCTCTATGCTAGAAAATTTATTTTTGTCTGGGTCCACTTAAAAAGCGTGGGCACGATAATGTGACTTTTACTTTATATGCTGTGTCAGGGTAGAAATGGCGAAAATGGGGCGGACAGAAATGACAAAATTTTTTTCCTGTTACACGGCTCTGTTACTCTTTAAAAGCTGCGCCATGGTGCCAACTTTGCAAAGCAATTAACACAATACAAACATTAGTATAGCATTCTTTCCTATAGGGTCTTTCATAATCAAAATTTTTTATAAGGGACCCATGATGGATTAATGTCTTCAATAAATTTTTTAATGAGCAAACCTTTATTAATTATATCAGGTTCTGATAATTCAATAAGGTATACAATTGAAAAAATAAATATTATAATTTACAGCTTAAAGCTAAAGAATTGGGATCAATAAAAATAAACTCCAAATGCCATAACAACACATATAATTGTCTCCTAAAAACCAATTAAAAAATAATCAATTAAAGCAAACATTTTTTTTAAAAAAAATATATATTATATAAAAATAAATAAATACATTTTTAAATGTTTCCTGTGCAAGATTATCAGTATCTGAATCCCATAAACAATTAACTTGCATTCTTTTAATAATGATATTAAAATTTATGGATTAATTAAAAAAAAACTCCACTTTTCATTCTTTCAAATATATAAATCTTTAACCTTTACCTAACACCTGCACCTTTATTTTCCAGAATTGATACATTGACAATATATTTGTAACGATTAAGTTCCAACTCTTAAATTTAATAAAATAAAATTGTTAATTATTAATTACTAATTACCAAGTATAATGACATTATTTTTAATTAATAATAATACCTAACAACTTTTTTTTAATCTCTTCTGCAATTTCATTAGCCCAGCCTGGTGCCTGATCTTTATTATATATAGCCTTTTCTAATCTTTCATTAACAATTTGTTGAATGATTTGTTTTACCAAAGGTGCTCGAAATCTAAAATTATATACATATATATATATATATAAACATCAACAAATCTATAATTACTAAAATAAAGACTTACTTTTGTTTAAAACTTGGTCTAAGCGGATGTCTGAGTGGAAAAGTTATATCACTGTCTGAACCTCGACGTTCATGTTCTCCTAGAATCAGAGAATTCACATTGTCTGGAAGTAAATCACCAATACTACTAATGCTCATCCTTGTAATCTTGCAATTAATTTTTAATTTTGATCGCGTAACACAATCCTTTTTGGCTACAAAGTTATTTGTATTCCAAAGTGCAAATAATAAAAATAAAAAACTAGATTTTTTTAATTATTTTAGCAAATTATACCAAAGAAATGGAGTATACCAATGTAACATTTCATATATATAGTCATTTCAAATGATAAGATGATAAATGAATATTATTACTACAGCATATAAATACTGAAGGTAAGCAATCATAAAAAGTTTTTAATTACTAATCCATTCCTCAATTAATTACAATAACTGATTATTAGTACTAAACAATAATTGTGAATTGTTATTTATCTCTTTATCGGTTATATTTTTATTTCTTTGAAGATTTAATTATTATTTTTTTAATGAGCACGACGAGGTTCTGCAATAATATTACTACACAAGTTCTTCGACTTTTCTTTTTGCACGAACAAATGTACCAAGTAGGACTGGCCGCGTAACCTAATGGTCCACTTGGCTATACCATTAGTCACCTGTCAAGTCATATTTTATCCTTTTACGCGGCCAACCCTGGTACCAAGCTAATAAATGGTTTTAAATAATATATGTTCTACACACCCTTTTTTTAGCATAACCACCTTGCAAAATTTTAATCAGGTTACAATTCGGATCATCTATACTCAAAAGTTGAACATGTTGGATTTAAAAAAACCCCACCATCATTCAATCTGGCTTTAAAAAGGGAGTCAATTCACGTAAAAAAAAAATTGTTTCAAAAATTTTTTTTCTCAGATTTGAGAGAAATGCAGCATGGTGGACATTCGAATCGTGCAACCAATTTGTTTCAATTGTTTTTATGTTTGGTGCACACCCTTGAAATTTTGCCAGTTAATAATTGTAGGACCTATCACTTACTTTTATAGTTAGTATTTAAAAAAAATTCCATCGAAATTTCGTGTAATATTATAAGGGATTATCCACAGACGCAATTCATGACGCAATATGCAACCGTGATGCCAAGATGTATCATTTCAACAAAAGGTTAGTTTCTTTCTATACTTGTAAAATATATATATAGAAATGAATGATGATTATAACAAATATAAAAAAAAAATTTTCAATTAACAACTTTTGGTGAGGATTAGATATAATTATATATATACAGAAAAATAATTTAAATTTTTTTAATTGACTTAAAAAATCATAGTGAATCTAAATAATTATCATTATGTCATTTAAATAAATTAATGCCATCTGGAGCGTTGATTTTAATTATAAATCTTATTTCAGTCGGATAAATCATTTTTTGATAAATACACTTTGAAACTTCAATTATTCGCAGAAGTTTCAAGCCAAATTATTTTAATGATTGCATTATATACTATTTTCAAAAAAATTTCCATAATATCCAAATTTTTTTTTCTATTTTGCTTATTAATTGCTATTAATACTTTTATCATCCTTATTAACAAAACCGTTGTCAATATAAAATTTTCGAAACGTTTAGTTTTTTCTGGATCATATTCAAACAAATCACCAATTATTGGGAAGTATTCGAGATTAAACACACTCACAAAGGAACTACTTTTTACAGGTAAAAGATATGATAATGTTAAAGCTCATATTTTTATTTATTTTATCTGCTATCGAATTACCAAAGGTGTAATTGAAAAATATAATATATGAAAAAAAAAGCAAAATATATGAAAAAATAAAAAAAAATTTTTCTAAGTGCTTTATTATTGTTAAATTAGAAATGTCTTGCTCCGTGTAGAGTTGTCGACCATGATACTGATCCATTGACTAGATCAATACTTGTTGCCACACTAAATTTTATTAACAATTTTAAAAAAATTATTTTGAGGGGGGAAATCATAAGAGTTTTTATTATTATACAATAATTACCATTAATTTTTCCAGTGTTCCCATAATCAGATTCTTCGTGATCAGGCACCAGTGATTTTATTTGTGAATTCTATAGATATATAGCTTAAATCTTTTAAATTGTGAAGAATTAATAATAATGGAATTGAATTTTTGAAGTAAAAACATGTTACCATTTGAGATAATTACCTTGTACGATAAATCCAAATACCTCAACCACCACTATCACCATCCCTTAGGTAAACTAGAATGACGACAAGTGGCGATAATCATCATTCTTTTAAATAACTAGAATGATGACAAGTGGCGATAATCATCATTCTTTTAAATAACTAGAATGATGACAAGTGGCGATAATCATCATTCTTTTAAATAACTAGAATGATGACAAGTGGTGATAATCATCATTCCTTTAAATCAACTAGAATGACGACAAGTAGCGACAATCACCATTCTTTTAATAAATAGCGCCCGCCTATCGATTTCTTTCATTTGGATCTTTTTTGTTTTTGGCTGTTGTTTTGAAAAAAAAAAAAAAAGAGATGAGATTGACGCGTTTATATAGTTGTTATTGGCACTTAGTGTTGTACAAGATTTTTTTGGGACAGACGCGAATCGATTTTTTTGGACTCTAAAATAAATAAAAAAAGATGACAAATGTGAATGATGTTGTTTGGTTCTGAAAACACTAGTGATGAAATTTAAAAATTGCTTGTAAACTGTGGTTAAATTGTCAACCCTATGTGCAAAGTTTTATATTGTGTGATAAATAAAACAGATTTATCCAAGTCTGTCTAATCGTATGTTGGACATGTGATCTATAGAGCTTCTTTCGTTTTAATAATATTTGTGATTTTTTATTAATATAAATAAACTTTGGTTCTGCATTTTTATTATTTTACTAATATTTTTTATTATATATATTTATTAATTACTATCTTATAATTTAATAAAAAATTAATTCTTTTAAAACATTTTTGTAATTGGAAATTAAACAATAGTAGCAGGGTTTTAGTTTTCGTCTGCAGTATGTTTCGCCAATTTCGTCAGAAAATTTTCATGGGAGAAATTAGGTCCAAACTATGGATTAGTTCCGGTCACCATAACTAGCCTTGTATCCTTGCGTCACGATTTGTCTTGAATTACATCTTGCATCTCTTGCATCACGAATTGTACTTTGCGTCACGCACAACACCAATAACACCAATTGTAGCTTTTAAACCAATATAACTGTTTCGCTTTTTATATTTAATTAATAAACTTTAGGGAATAAAATTAATCTATGTAAATCGCAAAATTTTCTTATTAAACCGGATTTTTGAGTCGGTCTCGGTTTGTCTTTAAAACATTCGGGTTGACACTTAACCCTCCAGAACCCGTCCGTCCAAAGCTTTAATTATTTTGTAAGAGTTAATTTATAGCAAGCATGCTACCTGGTAAAAATTAACCCCCAAAATTTTTAATCATCCAAGTCAGTGTAGGAAATTGAGTGCAGGATTTGTGTTATATAATAAATTCGCACGTTTATTAATCACCAAAATTATAGGCTACCTTTAATGCAATGATATGCATTGGAATCGGAAGTTCCTATGGAAAGGTTTGGAAGGTTTGGAAGTCACAAGTTTATCTGTGGATTAAATTTTGAGTCAAACTCAAATTAATATTAATGTAATACAAACCCTCACACTAATCCAAATTTAAAAAATAAATAAATATTAAAAAGAAAAGCATCCAGACCAAAAAAAAATTAGATTTCCAATAATAATAATAATAATAATAATAATTGTACCGGAAACCCTTTTATGCTTTGCCTGGTTGTTTTGGTGCAGTTTTAGCAAAATGAATTCAATCCCAAACTTACGACTCAAACTATTGTATGTTTCATTACTTGGTACTTATTGTTCTTCATTCATATATATGTCGTTGTTTCTTTCCGAAACATTTTTAATACCAAAAACACAGATTGGTTTTTTAATGTCTGCTACACCTTTCATGGAATTTTTGAGTTCAGGAATATGGACAGTTAGTAACAAAATCAAAATATTTTTCAACAAATCAAAAATACAAAAACATTAATCTATTAATTCATTGATAAAAAATCTATTAGGCATTAGCAGACAAATACAATTATCATAAAAAAATTCTTTTAATATGTTCCTGTTCTGCAGCCAGCTTTATAATGTCCATGCCTTTGATTGGACAAAATTTTGGTTTTAGAGGATTATTTGTTTTATTTTTGATCTATGCTTCATTTAGTGGTGGAATAGCTCCATTAATTGATAATCTTTCAATTGGTATGTGTGCATGTTTGTAAATAATATATATTCAAATTTACGGGTTTTTATTATTTGATCTATGTAGGAATTTTGAAAAACCAAGGAAAACAATCAGAATATGGTCGTCAGGTAATTTATTATTTTAATCTTTTTTTTCTCATTTTCATTTTATTCTTTATATATATGATTTATATAATGGTTCATTTTTATAAAATAACAGCGTTTATGGGGTACCATTGCTTGTGGTGTAATTTCATCAATGTTTGGCATTTTAATTGACCTGACTACCATTTATATAATCTTTTTTGGTTATTTATTCTTTATAAGTTTCCTTATCTTGATCATAATTAAAACCAATGATTCTCTATTTAATTTTAATCAACAATATGATCATCAATCAATACCTCTTGATGATTTGGATGACAATTATCATTATTCAAAAAGTAATGATGATGATGATGATGATGATGATGATAATGATAAAGTTGATGATGATGGCAATAAAGTTGATGATGACGGCAATAAAGTTGATGATGATGGTAATAAAGTTGATAATGATGGCAATAAAGTCGATGATGATGATGATAATCTGGAAAAAAAGTTTGATATACAGAAGGAACCAAATAGTGAGATTATTAATAATATTAACATTAATAATAAGCATTCATCATACTTGAAAAAAGGGAAGATAAAGTCTTCTTCCGTCAACTTTGTACCATCAACTTTATCTCAATTATTCGGAAATGTCTATTTTTTATATTTTTTGTTTATTATGCTTTTGATTGGAATTTCTAAAGCTTCTGTGGCTGTCTACCTTTTTATTTATCTTTCAGGTTTGTAATTTTTTTTTCTATAAAAAAAAAATTAATGTGTTTAAATAGTAATGCTTAATAACATTATTATTACTATTAAAGAAAATTTTGGTGCTAATGGAGCTATTTTAGGATTAAGTCAAGTTACAAGTGTATCATTAGAAATTGTGGTATTTTATTATGCAAAACAATTATTAGATTCTGTTGGTCCTAAATATATGATGATTACAGGACAACTTGCTTCAATTATTAGAGTTGGATTATATGGATTTCTTAGCACTCAATTAAAACCATGGATGGCATTACCAATAGAAATGGTATTTATTATTACACACACATATATATATATATATAATATGAAAAATGAATTTCAAACTAAATATTAACAATTAAAGCCATCAAAATATATATTGTAAAAAAAAAAGTTACAAGGAGCATTGTATTCATTAGTTTGGACATCTGGTGTAGAAATTACCATTAATCTTGCACCAAAAGAGCTTCAAGCAACTTATTTAGGATTATGTTCTGGTATATTTTATTGTTTAGCTTCTGGTATTGGATCAATTCTTGGTGGTCTTATTTATAGTGGATCAAGCCCTGAGAGAATGTTTCAATGCATGACATTGTTGTCTATAATTGCTTTGGTGCTATATATTAGTGGTGAAAAGATCTTGTCTTCTGGTAATAAAAAATTGGATCACCATGATGATCATGTACTACTACTAAACCAGTCACGAAAAAGTGAAGAGTTTCTTGATGATGATGATATTGTTTGAAAGTTGAAATTATATTTTATTTTATATTTAAATATATATATATATATATTAAATTTGTATAAAATTTTTCCTTTCGATTATATATATATATATATATATTTATAAAAAAAAATTTCACTTTGAAAAAGAAAAGTATTAAAATAAAGATATTAAAAATTAATTTAGATTAATCAATAATGAGAATCCTTTCTAATACATAAATATAAGAATCTTCAATAGGAGGATTAGGTGCAGCAACTACTTTGTTGTCATTAAATAAGACCCATTGATCAGACTTTCGTACATGTGCTACGTAATGTCCACAATGTACTGAGGTTCCTTTATGTGAAATGACACTATGAAGTTTATATGTTGCTGGTAAACTTGAATCTATAAATAGATAAATAAAAATATTAGTAACTTTTGAAAGCAAATAAATAAATGTATTTATTTATGAAAATAATATAAACCTCCATATGTATCATTAGAATTGGGGCTTTGTTGCATAGTTGAATTTTCTGTTGAAATATCATCATCATCATCATTATGACTAAACAACCATTCAACAGCACGTTCTACATTATTGTTCTAATAATATAACATGAGATATGTATAAATAGCTATTTATTGTTATAATGATTATAATAACAATTATAAAAATAATGATAAAAACTAACAGTTTCCATTAAAGCTTTCTTGCTTCTAGATCTGGAAAATCCCATATCCATTAAGGATATTATATCATTTTCAGAAGACTCTATTGTGTTTGAAGCACTTCCACTATTATTATTTATAGTCATTGGAATATCAATATCTGTGTTTTTAAAAAAATATAAATAATAAATTTTTTTTAACTTATAAACATAATCATTAAAATAAATAAATGTGCATATATGTAATTATAATGATAATATTAAATAACCTGGATCATCCATGTGTTCAAACAACCAATTCATTGCTACATCAGCTCCGTTATTACCAGTTACAATCAAGGCTTTCTTACACCGAATTTCAGGAAATCCCATTAAAAGCAACTGATTAAGATCCGATTCATTTATAGATGGTTCTTGATTACCTAAAAACAACAAATATTAAATAATATGTTTTTTACGCAAAATTTCGAAACTAAAAAAACATTTCAAAAAGACAAAAACAAATACTAACCAGTTGAACTTTCTTCTGGAAGTAAAGTTTCATTTTCTTGTCTACCTTTAGCTAAATATTTATCAAATGTCAAGGTATCTTTTTTAAAGAGTATTGGGACACCTAAATAAATAATAGTAATTGTTTATTTTATAAATGTTGGATAATTGTTTACTTTAAAAAAAATATAATAGTAATAATTAAAAAAAATATTTACTTATTTTTCGAGGAACCCAATTCACCAGTTCAAATCTACGAGCATGAATTATGAGTATTTCGGGAAAACTCAAGAATTTTGTATTACTAAAAGAGAAATTATTGTTTTTTCGTAAATATTTATTATTAATGATGTATATAATTAATTCAAACAATTCCATAACTTTCAAGCCATAATTTGATTATTATTATAATATAATCATACGTTATTGCTGAAGCTTTTTTGTCACAAGCAGGACAAAAATATTCAATAATAGAATCTGCAGTATACGAGTCTAAACATTCTTCAATCGTCACTGGTTCATATCGATCTTCTGCATTCTCCTCAGTTCCAGCAATTCTTTTTGCAGGAACTGGTACTGATATATATGACTCGGTATTATTTTTGTACCGTACTCCTTTACATTCCAAACATTGTAAACGCTGTTGAATACTAAATTTGAAAGATCGAGTAGGATCATTCTTAGGATTATTGTGTTCCTTTCTTTCTATTGTAGTGATTAAATATTGAAGAAATTCAAATGCATCCTATAAATAATAAATAATACAATGGTTAAAAAAAAAAACAATTTTTTATTAAAAAAAATTTTATATATTAAATATAAACCTGCTGTCTCATTGTAGAGAATTCTTCATGACCTTTTCCAATAAGAGTTTTAAACATTGCAGGCTTAATTCCATTATCTTCTCGTTTATCATCCTCTGAGCCCAATTTTTCATTAGAATTAGAATAACGGCCACTTAATAAACCATCAGCAATCTTTGATAACTGACATTGTATACAATTGGCTGGCTCTTGCGTGCATTGTAAATAGTGCTCGTACGCGGTTGGAAAATATCTTAATTTTTATCATTTTGTTTCAAATTAAATCAGAAGAGGATCTATAAATAATATAATAAGAAATAAACTTACCTTTCTTGGAAATTTGCCAAGGAAAATACAGATTGTAGAACTGAAGCCATGTAACAACTATTTTAAGAATCAACTTATAAAATAAATAATCAAATAATAATATTTATTATTATTTATTGGTATTATTATTTACCTATTTCCAAGATTTTTGATTCCAGTGTAGCCAGGACCAGATAATGGTTCAAGCTCTTTACCATCTTCAGTTACCATACTGAAATCAAATTTCAGATTTTGTTCAAGTTGCTTAAATCAAAAGAAAATTACATGTATGATTTAAATGGTTATTTATAAATTATTTTTTAAACACTCCACCACTTTATATAAATGTAATACATACAAGCTCAGTAATACTTTTTTCAGTTTTTTGTTGTGATTCAATATTTATTCCAAAATTTGCTAAATGTTTGACTACCTCATTATCAAGTTTCATGTCATTACAGACATAACAATAAATATCTATAAAAGAAAAAAAGGTTTAAATTTTATTTAACATCAATTTATATATATAAATATTTAGGTGATTTTACCAGCAGTTCCTTCGGGAGTAATTGTTCCTAATTTACAAGATATTTGATGATTTGTACTTTCAAAATGAGCTAATCCATGACCATTTCCAGAGATACCACCATATTGCTGACGACCACAACCAATATTACCACAAACAAGACATAACCATAAATTTTCCTTTAAATCACAATCTTTACAATGTGCAAAATCTATATTTTAATTAATGTATAAAATAATATAGTTATATTTTTGTTGTTGTCATTGTTGATATTATTATGATTTCATGGTTTTTATTATTTTAACAATTCTTTTGAGTACAATCATACTTCTATATAAGAACCCTGTCAGGAACATGATCTTTTTCTAAAAATGTTCTTATAGAGAGGTTGTTCTTAAATGGAAGTATTTTTCTGTAGCTTAATAGTAATTGGTTCCCAACGTATGTGTTCTTATAGAGATTGGATGGAGGGTTCTTATATGGGAGTATGACTGTAGCAATAAAAATAACAACATACTTTGTGATTCTAAAGCTTTTGGAGGCTCTTGTACTAAATTTTGTGTATGTTCGCATGCAGTGATTTCTTCTTCCCAAGCTTTGATTTCTGATTGTCTATTGGCTGAAATTGAAAGCATAATGGAATCAATCACAAATGGAAGCTGAGTAAAGGAATCAATAAATTTAAAAAGATTAAATGAAAATTAATTAATCGTATAAAAAGATTTTTTAAAAAATAATTTTCAAATAATTATAAATTTGAATTTCTAACATTATCTAATGTTTTGTCAACTTCCACTCCGTCACAAGTATGACATTTAACTTTTGTCAAAAATTCATATTTCTCTTCTTCAGATTCGGGTACAATTGCAAGTTTACTTATTTTTTGAGGAGGTTCTTCATTTTCATCAGGCTTTTAGAATATTTTCAAAATTATAACATAAAAATCAAAAAAAATCACATAATTTAATATTGATATTGCAAAGTAACTTACTCTTTTTGGTTTATCTTTGATCAAACGACGAATATTTAAAACAAGTGGGTGATTCGTTTTTTGATAATGAATTTGAGAATGATTACGTTCAGGGCCAGGACAACTAGCATTAAAACATGTTAAACAAACATCAATTCCAGGAGATAAATCCTAATTAATTTATTTATTTATTTAAAAATGTGAATTTTTAGTTGCATTAAAAAAAGAAAAAAAAAAACAGAATTCAATAACATTTTACAGAAAAATACCTGAGAATCAAAACATAGTGTACATTCCTCTTTATGAACTTGAGTTGATGCTGAAGGAGGTTGTAAATTTACAGTAGAAACATGTGGACAAAAGGCCATTATGTAAATAATTTAAAAAAAATATTCTGGATCGATCATAAATCAGCTGTCAAGTTTATTATTATGGGACTATTTATCCGTGTTACACGCACAACCTAAAACCAATTTTATATTTATTTGTCCCATTTTTTTTTTTGTTAATAAATTATGTTGAAATTTGTTCTTTTGGTGAATAAACAAGGACAAACGCGCCTTTCAAGATATTATACTAATGTTCCCATGCAAGCAGAAGAAAGGGTTTTTACGGAAGCAGAAATTACACGTAAATGTATGAAAAGAGGAGATTTACAAGTAAAAATTTAGTTTACCATTAATGAATGTTGGCTTTAGAATTTATTTATTTATTACTCGTATCATAATGACAAAGGATATATATTTATATGTATATAATAACAGTGCTCAATATTTGACTATAGACAATTTAAATTAGGTGCGTTTTTAATTTATTGTTTGGATAAATATTGAAAAATATTAATTAATGATTGTTTTGGGGAATTGTTATTTTCAGCCTTTAGAAGATATGCATCGCTATTTTTTATTGTTGGGTTTGACAATGATGAGGTTATTATTATTATTTTATTCTAATAGTGACATTAATGGTAATGGTGAATTAATATAATTTTAAATAATTTTTAGAATCATTTTTCTATATTAGAATTAATTCAATCGTTTGTTGGTAAATGGAATTTATGTTGTTGGTGAATATTATTTTATTAATTAATTATTAATAGTTAAATTTAATTAATTAATTAAAGAAATATTAAATACATATTTTGATAATAAAGTGGTATGTATAATAATAATTAATCAATTAATTAAATTTAAATTATTTTATAAAAAATTTTAATAAATTTTTTATAAAAAAAAAAAAAGTGTGAGATCGATATTATGTTTAATCTTGAAAAAGTTCATGTAATTCTTGAAGAAATGATTTTGAATGGATGTATAATCGAAACAAACAAAAGCAATGTTTTAAACACTATCAAAGAAATGAATAGGATATCAAAATGATAATAACAAAATTAGTTATTAATTGATTGATTATCTCACTCCTCCTGATGGTGCCATCACTCTCATTCCGGTATTTGATTTCATTACAAAAGGATTTCTTATTGGTGGAAAGTGTGCTGTTTATTATTATTTAAAAAAATTTAATGATTTTAGAAATAATTTAGAAAATAAAATTTACCATTAGATTGAAAATTCTTATTAGCATCATTACCATCAGTTATTTTACGCCCTCCGTTTACATTGCATGGTGCGAATGGAATTTGATCACTATTTAGACGATATTCTTGTGATGATGAAAGATTTTGTTGTGATTGATGATGTTGTGGTTGACGTTGATGTTGTTGATGGTGTTGGTGGTGTATGGGCTGTTGTTGAGGCATTGTATGATCGTATGTTTCGTAATGGAGCTTTTCTATATATACATACACATAATTATAAGTATATAATGTTATAATGAATTAATCAATTCTGGATGTTACCTTGAGAATTATTCTTTAAATTCCATGATTGTGGATGATTACCGTATAATCTATTTGTTCCTTGTTGCTAGCAATCGAGTTACATTATTTACGCGTTTGTGTAAGACTATTTACTAGATTATTAAAAATCAGGAAGATAAAAATACACATATATTTACACTTCCAATTCCAGTGATTCCATTACCATCACCATTATTTGTATTTTGTACTGTTTGTTGCATTGCTGGGACTAAAGAGCGACGTTTTAATTTGTCATACATAATCTTGATTCAAAAAAATTATCTGTTAGATATATATTATAGCATGTATAGCACGTATATACATGTAATTATCAACCTGTAATTTTGAAAATTGTCGTGTTTTTTCTTGTAATTGTTCAGCAAAATCATGATTCTTGTGCTTTTCTAGTTCCAGATCTTTTTGTATCGCTAAATTAATCAAAATTAATTAATTAGGGATTTTTACTATATAAAATATAAAAATATGATTATTAATAAATTAAATTACCTTGTACTTTAGATTTCAATGCTAATTAATCCAATCATTTTTTATAAATAATAATAATTATAATATATACGGTTTGTGCGTGTTACTAATGCCATTATTATTATTACGCGGTAGATAGTAATCTTACATGCAATTTCCTCCTGTGCGTCTCTTATTACTGACTGCATTTGTTTTTCTAATTGTGAACATTTTTCTTGTAAATTTTTATACAACATTTTTTGGAAATAAGCTTCTTGAGTTGTTTGATATGTCCAAAATGATAATGAACGTGAACAAATCTCCACTATAATATCTGGTCTTAGGCCTGATAGTACAGACTACCATCGAGTATAAAAATACATGTAAATTAATTAATTGAAATTTTTTCCAAGAAAAAAATAAATAAATTCTTACAGCTTTATAATCTTCATTTGGATTTAAATCTGTGAATACAATATCATCGCTATTTTATGAATATTTTTAATTTGTTAAAGTGTCGATTTTACTGTATTAATTAGTAGTATCAAGAATTAAATTTTTTTCTAACTTTTCAGTAAGACTGGTCTCACAAGCAGGACAAACTAAAGCCGATGTAAATGTATTATTTGCACAATCAACTATTATAATGCGAAAAAACATTTAATGATTTCTTTGTGAATAATGGATACGATGGTGCTGGTGGATTTATGATTAGATTAGAAAGAAATAATTACCACAAAATATATCTAAAAAAAAATTTGCGAAAAATATTTACGAGAATATATTACATAACTAATAAATATTTTAACATCGCGAGGAGCACAATAAATGTTGTATTAAATTATATATATATGTGAATATACTTAACGAGAACATGTAGTTACGCACGCGCGGCCTTCAGAACTTAAATTTTTTCTACATTGAGCAACATTACATTTTAAATCAACTTCCATTTATTATTATTATATTATTAGCAAAAATGTAAAAAACGTAAAAAACGGGAAAAAAAAATATTATTTTAAATTTAAGTAATAGTAATTTATCCATGACATAATGATGATGAAGCTTTACATAAACTCATTATTATGCTAAACTAAAATTAATTAATACCTATACATAATAAAAAAATTTCCCAATTTCACTTTAAAAAAAAAAAAAACTAATGGAGTTATCTCAAAATACCAAAATTAACTTATCATATCTCGGTTCACTTTTAATAGCTGCTGCCAGTGGGACGCAATATTTATTTGGTACTTTTAGCACAGAATTACAAGAGAAATTGAAATTTAATTCTGTTCAAATAAATACTATTGGAAGTGCAGCAAATTATGGATTTTTCTTGAGCAGTCCATTCTTTGGCCATATTGCTGATAATTATGGATCGAAAAGGTTATATATCAATATATCAATGTATATACTTTTTAAATGTCATAAATTAAATTAATTGATCATTGTAAATATTATATAGAATTTGTCTGATGGCATCAATCCTTAGTTTTACAAGCTATTTATGTGTTGCATTAACTTACAACGGAACTTTACCTTTGCCAACATTTTTATTATGCGCCATTTATTTATTTTTTGCAGGAATGGCATCTTCAGCTGGTAAATCGATCTATTTATTTATAATGTATTGATTTATAAATTTATAAATTGATTGATTGGTTGATTGATTGATTGATTATATTATTATCACGACCAGGAATTTTATCAGCACTTACTACGATCGTAAGTTAATCATTTTTTAAAAAATTTACATTGAATAATTGACGATTGATTATTTCTAATGATAGACCAGAAATGTTTCAATTCTATCAACATTTCGAGGAATCGCTTTGAGTACTCCATTGGGATTATTTGGACTTTCTGCTTTCATGTTTTCACAGTTCAATAATTTATTTTTCAGAACAAATACTTATCATTTCTTACTTTTTGTCGCAATTACTGTTGGGTTATGCCAATTTATTGGAAGTTGGTTTATAACTGTTGCTTTGCCACATCCATCGGTACAACATGATCAACTAGTTGTTAATGCCATCAATTCCTTAAAAAACAACAACAACAATAATAACATGTACGAAGAAGATTCACGCGTAGAAAATTCAACAAATAACTCTACTGCGAAAACTAAAATTAACAACAATAGTAACAAGAGTAATATTGTTATTGTTGATGAAAATGACAATAATTTTATTAATGAACGCACACCACTTTTACCTGATGCAGTCCATGAACATAATGAAATTAGTAGTTGGGGTCTGTTCCAAAATTTCGATGCACAGTTATTATTTTTAACATTATTCTTCATTGGCGGAAGCGGACTAATGTACATTAATAACGTTGGCATCATTGTCAAAATGCTTTATTTTTCTTCAATCGATACCGATATTTCCGACCCATATCATGAACGAGAAATACAACGATTACAAAATCTACATGTTTCTATAATTTCAGTTTGTTCTTGTCTTGGGAGATTATCAGCAGGAATTTTTTCCGACATCACAAAATATGTTTATAACATTAGAAGGTTATGGTTCATTATCATTTCAGGAATTTTGTTGTTAAGTGGTCAATCTATAGCCGGATGTTTGTTCAGTGATTTGAATATTATTAAAATCTCTAGTGTATTTGTTGGATTGGGGTTTGGCTTCATGTTTGGAATAGCTCCTACTATTATTAGTGAATGGTTTGGTCATGCCAGATTTGGATCTAATTGGTAATTGATTCAATGTTAATCGAAATAGGAAATATTTTTTTGCTACGTGCATTATTTATTAATATTAACCAAGTTTCTTTTTTTAAAAAAATAGGGGATTCATGTCATATGTAAGAATTTCTTAAAAAAAAAAAAAATAATAATGAAATTATATATTTTTACTTATTCAATTTTTATATAAATTTTTTATTTTGTTTAATAGGCACCGGCTTTTGGAGGGCAATTATTAAATTTAATATTTGGGCTTAATTTGGATTACCACGCCGATAAAAAAGATTGCAAGGGTGCATCATGTTATTCTACAGCTTTCTATTTTAGTAGCGCTGGATGTGTATTAAGTATTATTATAGCATTTAGTTTATTAAGAATGCGAATTAAAAGAGATCAAAGAAGACTGAAGCAAAGAGTTGAACATGATGAATCATTAATTAGAAATCATCGAGCCAAAATCAATTTAAACCACCACAGTAATAATAATAGTAGCAATGACGATGATAACAATAATGTTAAATATACAAAAAAAGTTAGATTTTCTGACGGAGACGAAATTATTAAATAAAAAATAAATTGCTAATAATTAAAAATTTATTTATGTTTTACGTGCGTGCAAGATACATATAATAGTTCTAGTAAGACCAAATGCTTTAGAAATACGTGAAATTTCATAAAGTCCAATTACGTCTGATTCTTTTAAATTAGACATTTTTTTTTTGGCATGCACGCTATACTTTTTCAAAAACATTTTGGGTGAATTTTTTTTTTATATAATCGCTCCAGTTTCATAATACTTGGTGAACTAATAGAAAGGATCTACTGGCGGTCTTAGTGTTTCATTTTTACTGCCTATAATCATTATTATTAGTTTGTTCATTGATTTTTTTTTTTTTACAAATTGAGAGAAACATTTAAATCGGAATCACCCTATAGCTGGCTGTGACGAAAAGAAAATCCATTGCTGCTGCTGCGCCAACGAGATTTTCCTACCACAATCATGTATGTACAGCAGTGGATCAATTTAAATCCCCTCCTACTCCTCCTAAAAATTTCAAGCCATTCTCATTCATGCAGAAAAATATGTTTCTTATATTACGGGCAGCATTAACACCATTATTCCAGAGGGTCTGGCACATGTGTAAGGCATATTGACATGCGTAATGATTTATGTCAATTTAATGATTTTAACCATAACAATCACAAAGAAATACTAAATCCAAATGATACAATAGGGCATTTAGAAATTTCGGAGATGATATAGATCTATATTTGTTTTTGGTAAGAGTTATTAGGAACTTTACTAAATTTGTCATAGATTGCATTGGTTGCCAATTTCAGGAAAAAGCTTTTCGATTTTATAAAAAAAATTTTTTAGCTTGTAAAATTTCAAGAGATTCAATTGTTGCTTGTTTTAATAAGAAATAAATTAATTAATTAATAAATCAATAAATGCCACAACTCTGATAGGACCCGGAAACTCCATAGATAAGTTACGGGCAAATTTAATAGTAATAGTAAAGGCACGAATATCATTATAGGACTCTTTTTCTTAATTAGAACTCTTTAGTAGGAAGAGTTGCGCCACAGCATATTCAGGGGTCATACCATTAATTTTGCCATATGAGGATGAATTTTCTCGATTAGCCAATAAGATTTTGAAGAATAACCGTTCCAGGGATTGTAAATCACATGATTAAGAAGGTAGTGTTTTGTCTGTTCAAGTGAATCACGCCACGCAACAGCGATAAATATGTAGTGCTGATCAGTCCGTGGAGTTCAACCTCGCTAATTAAAGGAATTCGTGTCAATATTTACTATTACTGTTACAAAAAAGGAAATAACTTTATTTATGTTTTTTTTGAATAGATATATATATGATAAATATTTATATTATTATTATTTATTTTGATCTAATAAAAAAATTCTTTGAAAAATTTGGAAATTATTCAAAACAATATTTACACTATATAAATAAAAAAATTTAAATTAAACTCTTCTAACCCTACTCATATTTACTATAAGGTTTTATCTGAATTTTCTTCCAATGCCTTTACACTGTGGACATAAACGACTTTCAAGCGACAATCGTTTTTCTGTACCAGTTCCTATATACGTGTGTGTGTATCAACATATATATTATTAATAATTCAGAATCCAAAAGGTCTTTAACCATTTTTAAAAAAGTAAAATGTCATTTTTTTAACCTTGACAATTTGAACATATCCATCCTCCTATAGAAAGGTCACCAAGTCTTGAACATAATTGATTATATTGATGATCATTTGGATGACTCCGTATTGTCGATAGGGAGGATGAAAACGCTGTCGTCGTCGTAGTAGATGACGATGATGACGATGATGATATATCTAAAGGTCTATTAATATGATCTAAAATATAAATTCAAATAACAATTTTTACAAATTTTTTTATACCCGGTAGTAGTGTTATTATTATTATTATTACATTTAGAACAATATAATGGTCTAGTAGAAGTAGATGTATTACTTGATTGTAATATAGAATTAGATATATGATTATTATTCATATTTATCATTTCAAGCAATGATTGTGCATAAGGATTTATTGGAGAAGATATTTGAGAATGCATTGGTTGTGGCGTATAATAAAAATTTTGAAGTGAATATTGTGATAGTTGGCTTGGTGGGCCGGAATTATCCATAAATAATGGTGGCTGTTGGTTTCTATAATAAAGATTCTGTGGTGGAAGTTGTGGCGGTGGTGGTAGATTTATTCTAGTCGTCGAGCTTTGTGAATGTTGCAATTGTATTGGAACTGGTTGACGTGGTGGACCAACATTAACTAAAGGTTCTAATGTTCGTGGTGGTGAAATGTCCTGTCTTGGTTGAGTGGTAGAAGGATACAACGATGGACCAGCATTAAATGTTGTTGCAAATCGCGATGGTCGTGGTGTCGGTGGCGATAAAGGAGTGTATGACGAGTCAGGTCTAAAAGGATTCACTGGACCAAAAGCAATTGATTTTTCACCATATTTTGGATATGGTGTATAAACTGGAGGTGACTCTTCTGATATTATATCGCTTAAATTAAAATTAGGAGTTGCGTTTGCAGTTGTTGAATTGTCGGTTGTTGATGTTGAATGTGACATTGTTTTAATTGTTTTAAAATGAAAATTTCAAATTTTAAAAAAAAAACCCCCCTCTAGGAGAAAAAAGAATGTGATTTCTAATGTTTATAGTTAGTTTGTAAAAAAAAAAATGGTTT